AATTTTAAATTGATCAATGGTTACTTCTGGAAAAGTTGTAAACTTTAGAAAGCAAAAGAATTATTATTATTATTATTTTAAATGAATTTTTGTTTGCATATAAAAAAAAAAAATGATTAATTAAAATCGGAATGTTTGATTGAAGGTAATGGATTATTATTAATTTTTTTAATAATTTTGAAAAAAAGTATTTATAAAAAATATTTATTAATTATATATATATATAATTTTCATTTATTTATTAGATGAATATGAATGAATTTATCTAAAAAAATAATAATAATAATAGATATTTATACTCAAATCCGCCGTCATTATTAATTAATAGATTCGATGATTTATCATTATCAATTATTTTAAATTTCATACTAAATTTATATAAATCCTAATATCATATATATCCTGTATATACTTGAACAGGTATTAGTAGAGATTCTCGTCACAAACGTTCACATACAGGAGCCAAAAGAGCTCAATATCGTAAAAAAAGGAAATTTGAACTAGGTAGACAATCAGCCAGCACTAAAATTGGACCAAAAAGAATTCATTCGGTTCGTGTTCGTGGAGGAAATGTTAAATTCCGAGCACTTCGTCTTGACACTGGCAATTTTTCTTGGGGATCTGAAGCGATTTCTAGAAAATCAAGAGTTGTAGCAGTTGCCTATAATGCTTCCAACAATGAATTAGTTCGTACCAATACACTTGTAAAAGGAGCAGTGATTCAAATTGATGCAGCACCTTTTAAGCAATGGTATGAAGCACATTACGGACAACCTGTTGGACGTAAAAAGTCTAAAAAAGAAGGACAGGTAATGAGATTGATGTGTGTGCGAATGGATTAATTAATCAAAGAAAAATTTATTATTTAAATTTTATTATACATTATCATTAATTATTAAATATTAAATTTACATTATTTTCATCACATTTATCACAATCACTATCACTATTTATTATTATAATATATAAATTAGGCTGAATCGGAAGAATTAAGCAAGAAAAAGTCTAATCATGTTCAAAGAAAACTTGATGCTCGTAAAGAATTTGCTAAAGTGGATCCATTATTAGATGAACATTTTACAATTGGTCGTTTATATGGTAAAATATTTATTATATTTATTACGCCAATTTACTATTTAAATGGAAAGATAAAAAATATTCACCCACACTCAAAAATAATGGTTTTATTTTTTAATATAGCTATTATATCATCTCGCCCTGGACAATGCGGTCGTGCAGATGGATATATTCTTGAGGGTAAAGAACTAGAATTTTATGTAAAGAAAATTAAAGCTAAAAAATAAATAAATTATAATAAAAAGTTAAAATGAGGTAGTTGGTGAATAAATTAAAAAAAGAAAGATGGTTGATTTTTTTTGGAAAAAAATATTAATTAAATTAAATTAAATAAATAATTATTATTATTATTGTAATAAATAATTCACGAATGAATTGCATCAATTGATTGGATAACTTATCTACGCTAAATATGGATTTAATATTACACAATGAATCTCGATTTAACGGATAGTTTGGGCAATTAGGCAGAATCGTTAAACCGAGATATCCGCTACATCGAGAAGGTTTGGTATTAAGGTTTATTATTAAACCATTCTTTGAACTTTATCTGTAAATCGAGATTCACTATGTATATAATCTCCAAATTTGTTAGTACATTAATTATGATCCAATATTTGCACAACGATTTCGTTATAACGAGGAATCAAGCAATCCTTTTTAAATATTGTTTTGGACAAAAACAAATAAATAACAGAAATGAAAATTAATTTTTCTTGATCTAGATTTTTTAGAATTGTAATAATTGAAATGAATGAGTCTATAAACAGCTTCAAAGGCGATAAAAAACATCTTTCTCGGAATATGTGGCTTCAATTTCTTCCTAGTCGGGACAAATGATGATGCTCATCTGTCGGCAAAATTAATATATTTAAGTTAAAACCATTACTCAATGATTTTTGTTTATTTTTTTATTTGTGATAAGAAATCATTCAGGTACTTAAATGATAAAATTATTTTGTTTCAATATTACAAAAATCCTGTTGTAACAAGGACCGTTATGTTCTTTCTCTTTTTTTCTCTCAAAATGCATTTATTTTATGAATTACATTATATGAATGAATAAAATGAAATAAATATGCATGCAAGTATTAACATACAAAAATACTTTATTTAATTGTCCAATTTGGCGCATAAATTTTTTTTTTCGGGATTATCAAAATTATATACTAGTACTAATACTAATAATACACATGTGTGTACATAACAATAATATATATTATTAAATAAATATTTGTGTTTGATATTCGGAAAATAGGCCAAATTCACCCATTTCAGAAATAAAATAACAATGAATTTTTATTGAATTGTCGTACAGATAATGCGCAATAGGTACATAAATAAAAAAGGCAATTTATATTTTGTTCATATTATATATATTAATTGGGAATGGTGGCGGTTACATACAAATAAATAAATAGTTTTTTTTTTAATAAAAATATTAACATCCGAGATTATAAATAGCAATAGATAACAATAGGAAGACGAAAATGGTAATTTTAAAAGAAGTTTCGAAAACAAAAAAAGTGTAATGGGCGAGAGGATTTGAATCGCGCGATTATTATTTATTTATTTATTTATTTGAAATTGTTCCTAAATGAA